AGACTGACCAGGATTGGACGGATGTTTGGGCAACGAAGGCTCCATTCCGTTACGGCTCGGTGCCTCTACCAGTCAGACAGGGTTATAGAAAGGTAAGGCGTCATGTCGAAGAAAACTTTAGTCTGTCAATAGGATATTTTAATCTTCTTCTGTTTTTGTCATTGTAATTTTAGTTTTAGCTCAGAAGTTTATAATTGAAAATATTTCTCAATTACATGATTTCATGAAAATTGAAGAACAAGATTTGTAGAATAATTTTTAAAAACAGTTTAATAGCAATATTATTATATGTTTCATGTAAGCACCATTAGGTAAATCACATACCCTGACATTTATTTAACGTGACTGTACATATATTTCTATCAATTTAGCAATATTTCTAAAAATATTGTAGATGTAATAGTCTTTCATCTGTTCTTGTGCCTGTATTACCTTTGTAGAGAGAAAATCGTTTAACTCCAGGAAAATACGGCAACACAGAATTAATGAAGATCCCCAACTTTCTACACCTGACACCGCCCCATATCAAGAAACACTGCCAGGCCATTAAAAGTAGGTTATAACTGTAGTGATTGTATACCGCAGGTATAAATATGCACTCTTGTAAGAGTTATCTCTCTTTTGGCCTACTCTGGTATACATGTATTATAATGTACATATGGTGTCAGATAGAATATCTGTTGATTTTTTTCAGAATTTTGCACAGAATTTCCAGAGGAACTGAAGAATCAAGAGATTCGAAAGGTTAATTTTCCCATTGAGGTCGTGACCTCTGATTATGTGACCTGTGGCACATCAATAAGAGATTCAAGGTCACGGGAGGTCACAGTCAATGTAAGTTTATTCAATTTTATTGAAAATAAAAGTGAGTTGATAAAAGTTAAACTTATTACTTAAGAATTAAGATCTGAAAAGTATTGAGGTAGAAAATTACAGAACTTCATTGAAAACATTTATATTATTATGTCCCCTTTTGAAGAGAATTTTCTTCCCAAGAACAGTACAGCACTTTTTTATGCATAGACATCCTCAGATTTTATACAAATCAAAAACCACCTTGTGGTAGGGTGGGGCTACAAGGGGTAATCAATTTTTTTTCAGTCATACATGTGTGTAGGAAAACATTCTTCGTTCGTTTTATTCAGTCCACAAATACATGTATTTTAAAGGAAGATAGAAACTTAGGCCAAAAAAAAAATACCTGATTGGACTTACGCCGATGGATTTTGCTGTGAGTAATTTTTTAACATTCAAAACGCGCGCAGTTAAAAAGGCACTTGTAACAAATAAATTCTTTTCAAGCATAAGATTATACATGCGTATATAATAGCTTTTTCCCCTTAGATTGTTCCCTCCTTTACCCTTTAATGACGATGAACACACACCTTTAATAAGATGACCACATGTTGACACGTGTGTATATTTTTATTGTTGATTTGACTTGAAATTACCGCTTGTTTATAAAATTATCAGAGCACAGGCGGCCACCTGCAGGTTAACAACAGATGACTGCATCATACTACAGTTGGAAATCACATGATTTACTTGTGTTAAAAAACATAAGAATGGAAAGTTCCACCAAAATTCAAAATGGCGGACTGTTACTTACGATGTTTTCAGAGCATATAACTCAGTCAATACGCAATATTTTCTCATCCAGTAAAGCATTACATGAATTTCAAGCTATCAACTACATATTTCTGGAAAGGTTTGATAATTATAATGATCTTTACGTGTAAAATACTTCAATATAAGATACGAAAAGTGAATAATTTTTCAGAAATTCAGAGGATATCTTCCATTTTACACATATTTATAAATGTAAAGGTGTAGAAAATAATTATTTCAATAGAATTTGATCATTAAAATATTCAAAAACGTTTAGAAATCAAGTTTTATCAAGCAAGTTTGAAAATTTGTTGTCAAGATTGAATTGATTTAGAATCAAACTTATAAAATGGATAATAAATAATAATTTAACCATTAATTATATCATCACACATAAATTTCATAGTTTTTAAAGACAATTTTGGCATATTTGTTTAAAATATCTCTTTTGCGATTTACACCTGCCTTCACCTGAATTATTTATTTATAGAAAATTACAAAAAAAAATTCTGTAAATAGATAAGAAAAATTTTATTTATTATAATCCAATGATATTTAATACATAGCATAAAAGGCATATTAGCATGATTAGTTCAGTTTTAAAATCCACTCCAATTCATTTAAAGCAATGTAAGGGGCAGCCTCTGGACAAACACTTCAAGGATATGGCTAGTGAGTCAAATTGTGGCCCCAGATGTATAGCATCACTTATATTATATGTGCATCAATTAACTGTGTACATCACATGTTGTCATTGGGTTTATAGTTTTTAGAAATGTCCACACGTATACGAAATTAATGCAATATATAACTTTCTTTGGTACTGGACTATGGGAAATTTATTTGGAGATGATCATAATTTTGAAGCCAACTTTGGCGGTTTAACTCTGACATTATTGGCCTTGAAAGAAATGGATATTAATATGTCTTTACATGTAATGACAATGAGGTCAAGGAAGTTAGGCCTGAAAAACAATCTTGAATTCTTTATTTTACTTTTTTAGTTAAATTTGACAAAATTTCTTTATCAAATTGTGATAAAAATTCAAATGTATTTTTCTGTAAATCAATTTCTTGCAATTGGTTCTGCTATCTACCTTTAGAAAACAAAATATTACTTGTTAATATTTGATATCATATATATTTTACCTAAAAAACAGTCAAATATAATGTTCGGTTAAAATAAAAAGTAAAAGTAAAAAAAAAAGTAATTGCCTACCTACCTACCCTAATTTTGAGGGACATGATAAACACACATATTTTTTTTTTTGGCCTTATCTGATTGGACTTAATGGATTTTGCTGTGAGTTTTAACATTTTATTTTTTTTTTTCAATTCACCAGGTTAATTTATCTGTTCTAAAAATGAATGAACACACATCTATCAAAATGAAGAAGCTGGCTGGAGACAAATTTGACCAAGAAGCTCAGACATTACAACTGAAGTCTGACAGGTAAATGGGTCAGATATTTAGTTATACATGTTTAGTCTTTAAAATTTGTTATGTGACTACTAAATGTTTATTAGATTAAGGTCTTCAAGTCTAAAAATACTGTAACTTATGTTTTTGAAAATTGTGAAATCACAAAATTTATTCTAGGTTATCAATCTACAAAACATTTTTCTTCAATTCTTGGGTGAAATAAAGTTTTTAGTACATACAAGTAAAAATGTCTCATTGACTTTTGTTCAGTCATTCCATGTTACATGTGTAATTTCAATATTTCCCCATCTTATTTTTTATAGCAGTATTTCATATTTTGTCCAGCAAGTACATAACTCCTCCCTTTGTTGACAGTGACCGAATATACATGTAGAGGTGTAAATTGTGAATATCTCATCAATGTTTGTTTTTTAGGTGTCCACTTCGGAAACAGAATTATGACCTTAACATATACACACTGACAGCTCTGTATTATGAGTCTAATGTAAGTAAGAAGCATCTTTAAATAATTCATCATGATGTTTGGAATCATTTTTGGTCACATTAGGCCTAGATAAATAAATAGTGTGTTTCATCTATTGAATCTAGAATATTGGAGCTGACCCAGCATGCTTACCAAAAAATGTTAACCCTTGTCCTGCCAGGGATTCTATAGATAACAGCATCTCTGAGTGCCGAGCTGATAAGGAGCTCCAGCCGCTGACTGTGCCACGCTGATTTATAAATTTCTCTCAAATTGCATATGCAGTAGATTATCTTAATTATCACCAATTTATAACTGAATTTCCTGATAACAATCTACACAACTTTTTTCCATAAAAAACAAAAGAAGAGAATTGTGAAGAAATTTTTTTAATATTTCAACTCAGTAAAAAACTACAAAAGCTTAAAACTAAAATTTTACATTTAAAATATTTTAAATGAGAAATTATTGGTATTTTAATGTCAAATTTCATTTCAAATTAACTTTTCACAACTATTATATTGTAAGAGTCCTTTGTGTAACTACTGGCAATACTTTCAGATTTTTTAAACATAAAATTATGACTGCTACAAGTCCTTTTTTGACACCCGTTTTATGGACATGGAAATCCGATTTTGTGGCTCCATTTCTTTCTTGAATATATCTGCCGTAAAGTTTTTTTTTAACCAAAACGTCTTCAAAACAGGTATTAGAAATATTAAACTTGAGTTGTCAATCATTGTGCGATCATTGGAGCACAGTTGTATCGATTTTTTTCACCTTTGAAACTGGTGACGCGCATCAATGCTTTTAGATCCACGCGTCCTCGAAAAAGTCATTGCTCCAACGTAATATTCATATCCATGGAATCAAATCATTAGAATTCTTCATCGGAAGCTCAATTTAGATATATTTTACCAAATAAAACATTTATATCTGCCTGCTATTACTGTAAAAGCTTATTTCAATCGAGCATCTTCTCCGCGACCTCCATCTTGTTTTCAAACTTTCCCCAAAGCATGCGATCATCGTGTTTCTTTTTCTAAGAATACATAAGGGAATTTCCCATCAAGAGCCAATCATATCATTAAACTACTGGAAAATCTATCTATTTTTAGTATATAACTTTGAAATGAATGGATTCCCTTTATTTCATTGGTTAAAATACGAAAGAAAAAGTCATGTGTGCAAAGTCGATATAGTGACGACCGGCACAGAACGGAAAACATGGCCGCTCTCACTTTATCGACGACCGGCACTGTGATGGTGTTATCTGGGTCGTCGATAAAGCGACGACCGGCAGGACAAGGGTTAAAATAAAATAAAATGTTTTCCCTACCTACCCTATTTTTCTCTCAGGCTGGAATGGAAACCACATCTATAAACACATTCTTTATTTATCTTGGCCTTACAAGTTTGTTTGGTCTGGCTAATACTACTAAAAGTAGAGACAAAGAGATTCTCTCAGCAAAACATGTACAAATTAAGTGTCTGATGAAACCTTCGCAAGAGAAGCACAGATGCAAATTTTGATACAAATGTGCCAGTAAGCCATTGATTGATAAATTTTGGTCTCGACTGGAAAGTTCAGCTGTTGAGATACATAAATGAAAATCAGTAATAAAGTTTTCTTTTCAGCAATAGAACTAAAATTTGAAACTCACATGAGCCATAAGCTTTTCTGATCAAAATTTGTTTGTTGTTGTTGTCGTTGTTGTTGTCATAAACTTTTTACAATTTTATTTTTTTCTGCAGAACCACTGGGTCAATTTCAACTTAACTTCACAGAGAGTATTCTTAAGTGAACGGGACTCAAATTATTTGTTCAAATAAATGGCCATACCCTTTATTAGGGGGAGATAATTAAGAAAAAGTTAAAATTGGGTTGGGGATCCATTTGCGATTTTTTACATACATGTATTTTATCTTATTTTACAATACTGTTTTGATTCCTGCTTTTTCCAAGCCAATATGCTCAGGTGAGTGATGTGACCCATTGGCCTCATGTTAGTTTTCAATTCAATGAAGACAATAGTAGTTGATCATCTTTTTGTAGACTTCATTGAAATGAGCTGATTTTTTATGTTTTTTAGGCTTATGCAATATTAATTAACCAGTACGTATAACATTATTTTTGTAGGTAACAGAACCCTGGGAAGAAGAAATGGAGGAATCTGATTGGGTGGAATATCAATGGGACAAAACACAGTCCAGAAATAAGATCCTCCAACTAAAGAATAAAATACAGCAGGTAAAATATTATCTTTCCTCCTTGTAATATATACAGAGAGAGAAAATATGCAATGTTTTATAGATGAATATGGAATTTATTTCATGAGTGGGACAAGTTTTTTTGATATTTTCATGAATCCTGTCTCAGGAGTGAAATATATTCCATGTTCATCTACAAAACAATAAATTTTCTGTTTATTTCATTTCATTGACCTTCCCTTTGATTCTGTATATTTTAACTTGGTGTCATAGGCTGTGATGTCATACTGTAGACATACTTCTTTCCATGGGGTCATAATTCCGCGGAATCTCCATTTCTGTTCCATCCGCTGGTAGAAAATTATGCGGATATCTTAAGACTCTCTATATATGTGCCTAATATTTATATTAAGTTTGAAGGGACAAATTTCCGTGGAAAATTTGTGACCATGTACATAGCGTAAATTAATACCACACGGAAAAATGTACTTCTACAGTAGTTAAATGGTTGAGATGCCTTAGTAAGGCAATTGCAAGATAATTGAATTGAACATATTTTATTGACAATTAAAGCCAAAAGGATAAGACACAAGTTCTACAATAACTTAGATAGTCTTCTCCTTATACAAAATTTTATAACATTGCCAAATTAAAAAACAATTATTTTCAGTAACAATTACTAGTGTCAAAGACTGTAAGCTCGATACCAGAATACGATTCTATATATATATACAAAAAATTAAGATTTTTCAGAGAATGGACCATATTCTTTTAAAAAGGTATGAATAACTTTAAAAATTTCTACATTTTGTTGATCAGAGAATGAATCAACACACCATAATATCAAATGGACATCTGTAATGTACAAATTGTTGAATGATAATAAATTATTCATTAGAAAAAATCTTTCTGTCGCATATTTTCTACAGACTAAAAACAAATGATAGGGATCCGCTGCCATCCTCTATTTGTCCACAACAAAAGATTGAAAAATGGAATTGTAAATATGGATTTTGAACAACATATTTGGAGAAACTTTAACAGTTTTAGTCCCTGTCAGGATGGTATATTTACTCCAGTTTATTTTTTAAACACTCTTTGTGATAGGAAGGAAATTCTCAAGTTTTGCTGCACTTCTGATATTCTCTCACTGTGTGAATACCGTTTCCATACCCTTCCACACATTGTGTCAGAATATCACTTTCGTTCAATAATTGAATTACAATTTTTCACTGTAATAATTGTCACAAAAAAGTGAATGTCATATGTAAAATATTCGATCCTCCATGTAATATCAAGGAAAATTATCAAATAGGTTTCAAATTATATCTCCCAATACAACAAGAGAATCCAACAAGTAGAATGTTAGATCTTTCCTCTAGAAAGCAAAAGAAATATGCAAAATATTAAACCCTTCAATTTAAGTTTCCTGATTTCAGTATGTTTCTCAAAACAAATGTTCATCTGAATTTTGTTTTTAATTATATTTAGATTGACAGTGATCAGAAGGAAATGGGGAAGGATCTAGGAGTTTCTGTGGTGGAGGCTGATTCTACTGTCCAGGATTATAAAACTGCTTACTCTAACCTGAAAGACAAGGGAGATAATTCAGTCACACTCAATGCTTACAAACAATCCGTGTTAAAACTTCTTAACTTATAGATAATAAAAGGTGTATAAAGTTTTCAATGGACATCTTTTTTTGTGGGAAAGTCAGTACATATGACTTAGCTGTTCAACCATTTGCCATTTAAGCTGCCAATTTCATTTAATTGAACTGTTAAAAAGATCACAACAGATGACAGAGTGGTATTTTTATATGGCCGCCTTTAGATGGGATGTATTATGTTATGGCGTTCATGTCCATCCATCTGTTTGTCTGTCAGGTTTTTTTTTGTGTCAAGGTTATAACTTTAATACTCCTAGACCTAGGCTTATGAAACATTGAATGCTGATATTTCTTGGGTAGCTGGCACTACAAGTAGGTCGCTCTGACTTAAGATGCTATGGCCAAATATGAAAAATTTTTGTCCAGCTCATAACTAGTAAATTATAATCTTAGAATCATCAAACTTGGCCAATTTATGCATCTTAATAGGTAGAATTTGTGGCACAATCTATTTTCAAGTCACCTTGAATTACTGAAATTAAGAAAAAAAAACATTCTTTTTTCTATTGAAACTTTTACACATATTTCACAAATACACGTGCAAACTTCTGCATGAATGTATGGACAAACAGAACCAGAATAAACTAATTATCTTTACATATTGTGTCCTAAAACATATAC